GTGGCAATGATGGATGGACACATACCACACAAACACCCCCAGGGACGAACAACAGACACCGTGGGGAGAAGGACGACAGCAGTCAGTGTAAGATATGAAGATAATAGTAATTTATAATTATCGGGGGGGAAAAGAAGAGCTGATATCAAGGTCTCAGAAAGTGAATGTTTAGAAAATAATGATGGCAACAGATGTACAAATATGCTTGATACAATCGATGTATGGATTGTTATGAAGGCTGTAAGAGCCCCCAATAAAATTATTTTTGTCAAAAACAAATAAAACTTGTTCACAATCAAAAAGAGGTGGGAGGGGACAAAGAACTTTACCAAATCAAAGGCCACGAAACCCCTGAGAAGATGTCCAACATCATTAGTCATCCAAACCATTGCCGTCCAGTCCATTCAACTCCCAGCAACTCAAAGGCCATCAGAGGGACGCAAGTCAAAATCAGGGCTTTAAACCAGTGCCATCATTCCCCTTAAAAACCCTGCTGAATCTCTGCATTTCTAGCAAGTTCCCAGATGATGCTAATGATGCTAATTAGGGACCTATTCTGAGAACCACCAGTAGAGCAGCTGTTCGGTGCCCCTAGAGGAGGGCCCTATGCAAAACACTACTTAGTCGTGTGCTAGCCTCACAATTATTATCATGTTTGAGCCATTTTGGCAACCACTATGTCAATCTATCTCCCTGACAGGCTTCTTCTTTTCCAAAGCCTTCCTACTTTACCAAGAAGATGTCCTTTTCCTGGGGCTGGGGCTCTCCTGACAACATGTCCAAAGTACAGCAAGGAAATCTCACCCTCGTTGCTTCTAAGGAGCATTCTGATTATATTTCCTTATTCTTTTGGCAGTCCATGGGGCTTTCAATATTCTTCACTAGCACAAGCAGAGCAGTGGCTTTCAAAATTTATGATGGATAAGTCACCTGGGTATCTAGTTTAAATGTGGGTTCCAACGAAGCATGAGGGGAGAACTCCATTATCTTTTTTTAAAATAAATCACTTTATTGGGGGCCCTTACAGCTCATAACAATCCATACATCAAAATATCAAGCACATTTGTATATATATTACCATCAGTATTTTCAAAATCCATTATCTTTTCATTCTACTTTCCCACAAACTTTTTAAAGCCTCCCTCATATCTGGAGTGGAATCTTTAGTATAACCTGGAAACTTGTTAGAAATGCAAATTCTCAGCAGGAATTGGAACCAAAATGGCACCCTTTGAAGATTAACCAAAACCACAAGGACCATCCCATTTTACTCCCATTAATATGGCTAAGATTTGGGGGGCAGGGGGGTGTATGGAAAACAACTGTTAGAAAAGATGAGGTGAAATTGAGACCCTTAATTAGTGACTGGCGGGAATGAAAAATGGTACACAGTCACTGGAAAAATGCGTGGCAGTCCTCAATAAACGAAAAGAAGAACCAACCTATAACCCATTAATTCCACTCCGAGGTATCCAAAAGACTTGAAAGCAGAGATTCAAACAGAGACTTATACATCAATGTTCACTGCAATACTATTCACAATAACCAAAAGATGGAAACAACCTAAATATCTATCAACAGATAAAAGGAAGGGAAGTGTGAAGACACCCCAAAAATCTTAGCACACTTTGCCAAACTACAAAAGTCGACACAAGGTTTGGCTGAGAATGCGACTAATGACCATTGGTGGGTGAAAAAGGAAAGGTAGCTTTGCCCTCAGAAAGAAATCTTAGCATATTTTAAATAGACCTTCATCAGGTATTTTCTTGCTATTTAATTTTTTCTTCTTCTGTTTCTGGTAATCTGAGTTTCATGCCTTAGGCTAACTGGGTTTTAGATTGTTTTTTTTTGGTTTTGGTTTTTGGTTTCCTTTTTTTTTTTCTTTTCTTTTTTAACATTTTATTAGGGGCTCATACAACTGTTATCGCAATCCATACACACATCAATTGTGTAAAGCGCATTTGTACATCATTCTCAAAACATTTTCTCTCCACTTAAACCTCCGACATTGGGTCCTCATTTTTCCCGTCCCTCCCCGCTCCCCCCTCCCTCATGAGCCCTTGATAGTTTATAAATGGGTATTTTGTCATATCTTGCCCTGTCCGACGTCTCCCTTCACCCACTTTTCGGTTGTCTGTCCCCCAGGGAGGAGGTCACATATAGTTCCTTGTAATCGGTTCCCTCTTTCCTACCCATTCTCCCTTTACCCTCCCTGTTTCTCCACTCACACCACTGGTCCTGTAGGGCTCATCCGCCTTGGATTCCCTGTATTTCCAGTTCCTATCTGTACCAGTGTACATCCTCTGGTCTAGCCAGACTTGCAAAGTCGAATTCGAGTCATGGTAGTGGGAGCGGGGAGGAGACATTTAGGAACTAGAGGAAAGTTGTATTTCTCAGCGTTGTTACATCGCACCCTGACTGGCTCATCTTCTCCTCGAGACCCCTCTGCAAGGGGATCTCCAGTGGCCTACTAATGGGCTTTGGATCTCCACTCCGCACTCCCCCCATCATTCACTATGGTAAGATTTTTTGTTCTGATGATGCCTTATACCTGATCCCTTCGACACCTCGTGGTTGCATAGGCTGGTGTGCTTCTTCCACATGGGCTTTGTTGCTTCTGAGCTTGATGGCCGCTTGATTACCTTCAAGCCATTAAGACCCCAGACGCTATACTTTTGATAGCCGGGCATCATCAGCTTTCTTCACCACATTTGCTTATGCACCCATTTGTTTTCACTGATCCGTCTGACACCTCGTGATCACACAGGTTGATATGTTGTTCCATGTGGGCTTTGTTGCTTCTGAGCTAGATGGCCGCTTGTTTACCTTCAAGCTTTTAAGACACCTGACACTATATCTTTTGATAGCCGGGCACTAGATTGTTTTTATAAAATGTCATAACATTTTTCATCGATGACTTTTGCTCTCCAAGTCTATTGAAGAAGACATCAATAAAAGGATTTCTTTGGGACCCCACTGGTATAGTTTGAACTTTCTTCATGCCAATCCATATGCAGTCCAACTTGAAGGTGTTAAACCTGAGACACCTTTGTCATGGGTTAACGGAAATGAAGCGCTTATTGACAGGATGCTGCAATGCAGTTACTAGGCAAAAGCAGAGGCAGAGGCTTTCCAAAAGCTGTAAACTTTGAGGTCACTGGATTTCATTCCAATCGTTACCACTTTTGCAACTGCCTACCAATGGCAACTTGGCTTTAATAACTGGCAAAATTTCCATGGAGACTATAGATTTGCTAGCTGTTTTCATATTAAATGTTTTTGTCTGACATGCCTTTAGGTTCCATAAACTAACATTTTGCCTTAAGGAGTTAATAGTATTGAATTTTTTAAAAAAGAAAATAAACTTCAAGGGCAAGAAAATATCCTTAGCCAAAGTTTGACCAGAACACTATACTTAATATTTCTGAGTATGCCCTAAAAGTTTTAACTCAGGTGTATATGCCTAATCTGCTCCAAATCAGAAATCAATGAACACCTCTGCTATGTCAAAGAACCAAGTAGCCATATGGATTTCTGATTCTCTTCAAGTAAGCCAGATTCTCTTGTAAGCCAAGAGGAAAAGGAGTATGCATGTACACATGCATCCTGAGCCACATGTCAAATCAGTGCCCTTTGAAAATATAGCCAACAAAGTAAATGCAGCTAAGTTAAATGTAACTAAAAACAAACCCACTGTCACTGGTCAATTCTGACTCATAGCGACCACATAGGACAGAGTAGCATTACTCCTTTGGGTTCCCGAAACTGTTAAGTCTTTACAGGAGTAGAAAGCCTCATCTTTTTCCCATGGAGTGGTTGGTGGTTTCTAACTGTTAAACTTACAGCTAACAGACCAACATATAAAATACTACGCCACCACGGTTCCTCCATATAACTAAGACAGACTTATAAAATGAATCTGCAACTGAAATTGCCTCTATACCCCACCTTTCCAGGTGGTCCCAGATGTGTCACAAGACACACTTAATCAGCACTAGAAATAAAAACTTCTTTTAACATCTAGATATTCTCTGAAATACCCCACTAACTCAGAAAATAGGCCATGCTAATATTTGGAAATGTATGGCACAAATCCAAAGCTCAAGATGTGATCTAAGACCAAGCGCATTAGAAAAACTTTTGGTGAGGGTCAAGCAAACAGTGGCTAAGGGCTTAAGGACTGGGATTTGAATTAGGCTCTTATTTACTGTGGCCTCTAATACAGTGAACCCTCGTTTATCGCGGTTAATCGGTTCTAGACCCTACCGTGATAAATGAAATTCCGCGAAGTAGGATTCCTTATTTGTAAATCAAATATTTTCGTAGTTAGAGCATAGAGAACATGAAAAAACACCCTTTAGTCACCATTACACTCGTATTACCCAATTTATTAAACGAAAAAGGGAAAATACAGTAAAACATTTTGGATGTTACAATTATCATTTATTATTTATTATATTATTTATGGCATCAAGCATGTACAGTATGAGCCAATCAGTGGCAGGAATGACAGAGCATGCGCTGTTACACAAAAACCGCGATAAAGAGTGAAGCCGCGGAAGTTGAAGCGCGAAGTGGCGAGGGTTCACTGTATGCCTCCATTATATTTCTCATGAAATGGCACTAATAAAAATAGTAAATATAGTTTCTTTCCAAGTTAAATGAAACAATGCTTAGCATTATTTATGACACACACAAATGATCCAATAAATATTACTCATTATTATTACTAACTGAATTCCTCACTACAGACATATCCATTTCCTCTTTTCAGTAGGTGAATAATGAACCCGCATTATGTATAAAGTGTTATTCACTCTCATGTATTTATTTTACTCGTATTCATTCTCATTCTCTCTCGCTTGCCACCTCCACCTTGCTGTCTTTTCCACTTCAGAAATTGGATACACCAAATTACTAAAACCTAAAACTTTACACCAAAGCATTGGAGCCAATCAATAAAAGGACATACTTTTCTGTCTAGCTCAAACACGCTAATAATGTACATTTGATGAAGAAAACCATAAATAGAATCCCAACAGCAAGAATTTTACTTGCCTTGGAAGTCCCCCAATACCACTCGCTAACACTACTTTCACTATCAGAGAAATCTAATCGCATATTCTTACAAATAGTTTCCATGTCAATAAGACAAGCCAATCGGATATTCTTCCTAATTAGACATGTTAAGAAGATTTGCATCTCAGCAAGAAGAGAACATAAATACCTTTGGTGCCACTGCTTAGTTTGACTCTCTTGCGCTTGCCCAGACCCTGACTCCCATCCTGATCTTCCTGTAAGAAAAAAATATATAATCAGACAGCCATATTCATAAATTTCTATATTTCATATAAATGTAGATATGTTTATACTAAATAAATCCCACTATCACCAGGTCAATTCTGTCTAGAGACCACCATGTTGTATTTTATTTATTTATTTTTAATATCATTTTATTGGGGGTTCTTAAAGGGTTTTTTTCTTTCTTTTTTTTTATCATTTTATTAGGGGCTCATACAACTCTTATCACAATCTATACATACATCAATTGTGTAAAGCATATCTGTATATTCATTGCCCTCATCATTCTCGAAACATTTGCTCTCCACCTAAACCCCTGGCATCAGCTCATTTTTCC